TAAATCATGCACAAAGAAGTTCAGAAAGAGAACAAACTTAATAGATTACTTTTAATCTCTGTTTAACTTAATTATTAGATCTGTTTTTTATTGTTGCTTATTGGTGTTTATTGCTGAACTTATTGCACTGGATTGTACAGTTCAGAAAGTGCAGCAATAAAGAGCAGACCTATTGTTTATCTTTTTAAAAAAATCTTGAGAAATCGGACAAATGAGAGCCCAAACGAGAATGGATTGAAATGGATTCAGATTTTCAAAAATATTGATTCACGAATGTTAAAATGAATCAGAAAATTGAAATACTTTTCAATCCTGAATGCATTTTTATTCATTTATAGGAATTGCATGGAGTATATCTCTATGCTTTTCAATCTAAAAATAATATTAGCTTTTTCTATGCATACACAACATTTTGTGAATACTGTTCAATTCAAAATTTTGAATAGGAAATGCAATTTTTCAGTTGCATCTAATTGAATCTAATTGAATCCAATTGAATCCAATTAAATCCAATTAAATCCAAAAAAGTATTCGCTATTTAAAATACGCATTCGGAAAAGAAAAAAATTTCAATCTATTTTAATCCATTCTCGTTTGCTGGGGGGGGGGAGGGGGGAAAGTAAAAATCTTATATTATTTAAATGTGATGCTATGTTAGATGACTCTAGTATTAAGGGAATTAAGAAGTTTCCAAAATCTTTATTTACTATTTCGATTGTTTACATCACGATTTTCGAGAAATCTATCCGGTTTGAGGTGAACAACTTTCACTTTCTTTTTTGGGATATAATTAGTCACGTTTATTCCGATTATCGAGAACCAGAGTCAACCAATAACGAAGAAAAAAAAGAGGAAATAATGTGTATTGTGATAATTTATACAAATTTTATTGCGATAACTTCGTTTTCGAGTAGTACGAATAAATATATAAATACGTAATAAAACGTAATAAAGTAAATATTAAATTAATAGATATAGTTCAACATTTAATTATTATACGCATTAGGTATTAGAAATTTATGTTCCTTTGAATCTCACTTATCAGAATGCAAAAGGAACGCGCATTCAACTGAATTATGACGTCATAAGTGGAAAATCTGAGAATCGGTGTAACTGGCAAGCAACTAATATCTCGTCGGTGTCTTTATTCATAGCTAGCTTGTCAGCACCAAATTTATCAACACCATCGATTTTATCGACAGAGAGTTTAATTCGGATCAGAATGTAAGAAACAACTAACTACAGTTGAATATTCCCCTATCGTTTAACTGTAAGAGGCTCCGCACAATAAAAGGAACAATAAAAGGGAACAGAGAACAGAGAATAAGAATTTCAACTTACCAGAAACCGTGTATTCCACAATACATGATTTTTGACAGATTAAAATTCTCATTCTCTGTTCTCTGTTCTCTGTTCCTTTTATTGTGCGGAGCCCCCTAACAAAGGAATACTCGATTGTAGTTGGTTGGTTCTTACATTTTGATTCGGATTAAAAACTCTCAGTAGAAACCTAGACCAGTGTCGAAAATGTGATACGACACGTAGTTGACATTATTAGTTTACATCATTTTATAAAAATGATGTTGGTGCCGCTAGTGTATGATGGCTTTTATCACGCGAAAAAGGCCGCCATGGCTTTTCTCAGGTTTCTCTGTTAAAGGCATAAATATATCGACATCAAACGCATAATGAAAATTATTGATGTAAATTGTAAATTATACTGCCTTGTTTGTATTCAGTGGTGAAACGCTCAAGACGAAGAGAGAGAGAGAAAGAGAGAGAGAAAGAGAGAGAGAGAGAGAGAGAGAGAGAGAGGGGGAGAGAGAGAGAAAATGGTAAGACGTGACGTTGGCGAGGTTATATTGAATTCTCTACTGATATTTACACAGTGCTATTTTATTACATTTACATGGTGATATGAAAATAAATAGTCGAGACGAAATGACGTCCACTAAAGTACAGAGAAATACGGCGACAATACGGTGCTTTTAGAGGGACACTTTTTGACAGATCATCATTATCTTCGATCAGGCAGGCATGTTCAGGTACTTTTGGACTCTGGTGTGCTGGTACTTCAGGCCCTTGATAAAATGGTTCTTGCACCACACCACGCAGATGTGCGAATTGCAGAGAATCTGTTACGGACAGCCGTCTGGAGCACCGCGCGCTTTCGCAGTCGAGGAAACTCTTGGACAATCGCGCAATGCTAATATTAGGACCCTCGTAGCTTACTTAAATGACATTGCTGATCATCGAGGGATAACGACGAAAACGGAGCGCAAGATTCTGGAGGATGCCATCAGAACCGTACTGATAACGAAAAAAATCAATCCCACGGCACATCCAGATTTTGCCAAGACATTTGGCAAATGCGTGGAACTGATCTGGGGTTATCGTCAGCTCTGTGTGGAGTGTGAAGAGCTTAGGAAGACGCCGTATAGCGCGGATAATTCGGAACACGAGCAGAAACTACTGAAGTTATGGAACCTACTGATGCCATATGAGCCCCTGGATGCAAGGGTAACCAAACAATGGCAAGAGATTGGCTTCCAGGGGGATGATCCTAAGACAGACTTTCGTGGGATGGGAATCCTAGGATTAGAGAATCTCGTTTATTTTGCTCAAGAATATCCTGGCATGGCTACGCATGTATTGTCCCATTCAAATCATCCACGTTACGGATATGCATTTGCTATAGTTGGTATAAATCTTACAAGCATGGCTCTAAAGTTATTAAGAGATGGTAGTGCTAAGACTCATATATATAATTCTTCGAAGACCTTACCGACGATTCGTGCCTTTCATCAGTTTTATTGTTATCTATTTTATGAATTTGATGGATTTTGGATTGAGTCCAAACCTAGTAATATGATGGAATTCTCATCGATACAAGAAAAGTTTGAAAACAGTATCAGAATAGCGTTAGCTAATCCATCAACTGTTTTCAGGATAAACGTAGCAGTCGACAATATTTAATAATACGAATACAAATTGCCTTTTGTAAGAAACAAGACCAAAATGGCTATATACGAAATGAGTACAATTTTTAGACTAGCACACATGGAACTTATTTGTTACATATTTTCACAATGCTAGATTTGTTGTGATATTAAAATGGCATTTAAGTAAATAATTGAGTTTTATATTATAAAAATTTTTATTTTTAATTTAGTTTTTCTTTAATAATATAATATTATTAATATTTTGACATAACATGTGTGTTTTTATTGTAGTTTCATTGAAATTTTAATTTGGTTTAACAGTTTTCTTAAAATTATTGAATTTATACATAGGGTATGCTTATCACATATGTGACACATTAAGTTACATAACAAAATTAAATTACTGTGCATATATATAAATTTCATTATTTATTTAAATAATTTTCAAAGTTAAAATTTTTTAATATTGGCTGCATTCTATTATTTACTGAAAATCTATAATTTACATTACGTATAAATTTTCAATACTCGCAGTGAATAATGGAAGCCATCATCAGCAGCAAATTTACACTACTTACTAATGAAGTTAAAAACTTCAGAATTCCAAAAACAGATTAAATAATTTAATTAGTAATAATATCATAATACAGCTTTATCACAATATCATGCCTCATGAATTTTATTCTTTAATAATTCGAAGCATTTTTTAGAGTGTTATAAAACCTAAAGAAAAGATATTGAGCTAAATAAGTCATTGTACCACGGAAGAACAATGTTGCTTTTATAAATTTACAACATTTAAATAAACAACATTTAAATTTATTATATATGTGCAAATTTTAAAGTTGAGATCATTTTCAGATAATTATGAAAGTATAAATTATTATAAATTGTTAAAGCTTAATATAGAATTGTGTCTTCAATAACATTTATATTGTTGCACATTAATGGGGAATTGCTATTAAATTCAATTAAGTAGTTTATTTGAAGATTGGAATTTCAAGATTAGTTTCAAGATTGATTTTTTTTTGCATAAAAGATATATTTCTAAAAAATTTATAATATAGATATTTTTGTACAATTTATTTTGTACAATTATTATTTTTCTGTTTTCTTTTTAATAAAATATAATTCACATGATTGCTCATAAAAATTACATGTAAAAAAAGCAGCAATAAAGTTCGAAGTATAACAGATATAACATAACGTTATACAATTAATGGAATGCATTATGGCTAATAACTTGACAATAAATTTTTTCTTAACAAAACAGATACGAATCTATTTTGAAACAAGCAATTCATTTAAGATATTCTCAAGCAAATTTAATTAATACCACTTTGCCTTTCTTAAATTTGTTGCTGTTATACACATTCTCTCTGTATCATTACTTACTATATAACTTTTTGAATATATTTCAAGTAAAAAAATATATTCTTTATACAGGGTATCTCAGACATAAGATAGGAGCCGCATTAAGGGTAAAATAAGTCAAGAAGAACAAAAAAATCTGATACCACTTTGAGATATTTGTTGTAGTTTTCGAATTAAAAAAGGAAATGTATAATAAATCAATGTGTTATGAATTCGTGTGGCAATTTCACTGCACTTAGCTTATACGTTTCCTTTTTTAATTTGAAAACTGCAGCGAATATCTCAAAATGATATTAGAATTTTTGTTCTTGACCTACTCTACGCTCCCAATGCGACTCCTACCTTATTTCTGAGACACTCTGTATAGAACTAATGTGCAAATATTTGTGTATATTAGATTGTATATTAAAAATCATATTTTCTATCTTCAAAATAATTTCAATTATCAAATATACTTTTAATATTGTACCATTAAATTAAATTTCGTAATTATATTTTGTATGATGAAATAATCGAATTTCTCAGTTATTTGATCAATCTTACAATTTGATAGATATTTAAAAAATACTTCTCACAAAAAAATATACATTTATAAAAATATTATAAAATTTAAAATTATACTTTTTACACATGTGTAATAAGTTAATATACAATCAAAAATCATTTCTAGTATTATAAACAGTCTGTACAAAGAAATATTCATACTGTATTTTTGGCAAGCCTTGAAAGTACTTAATAGATTTAGTCTTCTTTATCCTCTTCTTTATCTTCTTTTTCATCTGATTGCATACATTTAATAGTTGCTAGAACAATAACCAGCACTCCAATGCAAATGCTAGCTAACTTGAGTGTCCACGGATTATCATACAAAAACGTTATAATTATTTTTGTGTACTCATCACTAAAAAAAAAATAATAATAATTAATGTATAAATTTACAAATAAGTTAAAATGAAACATTTTTAAATAACTATGTATTTCTTTAAACTTACAAATAGCTTGGAAGTGCAGGTATTTCTTCTGGTTTTATATCTTTGTATCCTTCTTTGGCGAATGCTACAAAGGAAGCAACATCATGTGTTCCCATATCATACCGATACATTTTACCATGCCTAAAACTGTATGTAGAACGTATTAATATACTACCAGTCAGTTATACTTTTCAATTTATGCTTATCTCACAGTACGTTTATATATAATATTATTCAAGACATTAAACAGTGATTTGTATCTATGAATTTACAGTATAAATTGTGGCGTATTATAAATGTTAAATCTTCTGGCTGTGGAAATCCCAGTTGTGGCTTTATTAACAAGTGCTATATTTACTTTATGTTTAAGCTTGGCACCGACCATTTCCCATTTTGCCATTGTGCGCAAGCATTGTACGCAATCCGTACTGTAACTGATATTATAAGCCATGATTAGTATACGTACTGCCGTCACTTATAAAAATTAAATGATTACTGTAAATGTAGAAATAAGGACTGAGACTTACAACATAACGAACCAATCGCCAGTTGTAGCACCAGTGCTTGCTTGAGTTAAATGCTCAAACGTATCATCTGTAAGTTCCTTTACTGTGGGTGCTTTATTTTCCGTAAACGTAGTTATAATGTCTTCGTCCTCCAAAGGTCCTGTGGAAGAAGATGCAATATGAAAAAGTTTATAGTACATGTAGACATATCACAATGTGTACGGAATAATAAAGCACAATGTATTATCACAAAGTAATTAAATGAGTAAAATATCTGTATGTAATTTCTATTTCTTGTCAAATCCATACCATCATACAACAAAGGAAGCCCATGTCGGAAAAATATTAGAACAGGTTCTCTATCATTACTATATAATTGGAGTAATTGACTATCAATAGCCTTAACAACCCATGTGGACATGACATCCACGAGATCCTCACGCAAGTGAGCCAACTTCTTTTCATAATTGTTACAGTCTGCACAGTCTGTACTAGTTGCTGCAAATGAGATTATTATCATTAATAATTATAAATTATAATACTGAGAATAAGTAAGATTGTTATATATTTATAGTTAGGAAAATTATAGCTTATGTAACATTATAAAAAATAACAAGCAGAATTGTTTAATTTATCGCGAAAGATTAATTATAATGAATGTATGTATGCATGTGCTTTCAAGATCATTGCTTGAAACAAATTTATGTTGAAAATTAAAAACAATAACAAGATCGTAAAGCCTTGTATTGGCTCTAATTTGCATGAAAATATAAAATATGTAATCAGGGATACGTAAATAAAAAAAATATAAATAATATATACAAATAATTAGAGTTTTTGCAAGCAATATTTTTTCCTCTAAAAAATTTTGCAATCAAGAAAAAGAAAAAAAAGAAACTTACTAAATAGAACGATCACATATTTTTCGACTTTTATGAGATTCAGGAGTTCATTATCGTGCACCCTCTCGAGTTTTGTGGCATGCACACTGGAAAGGATGCATATCGCAATTAGGAGCACTAACATTGTTAATTCGTGCGAGGATGATGATGTAATACAACAAGACACGTTTACGTCGCCACGCCGGCAACTTGTGCACATCAAGCAACGCGATGCATCAAATCAAACTAGCGAAACTTGGCCGGTGTTTACACTTATGAGAGTAGATGGAGAGATGTAGAGAGAGGGAGCCAGAGGCCAGAGGGGCGCCATCCATTGATCACGTGATATCCAAGGTAGCCATGTTGCTGACATAGTTGCGGATTTGATTGGAAATTGGAATCGGTCTCGGATGGAGGGAAAATAGAGGTCTATTTTTTTATAATTGAACTAGGTAATAGGAACTAGGTATATTTTTTGTATTTAAAATAAAGTAGATCATATATTTGATATTGGATGAAAATGAGAAGGAAAATTCCAGAGTACATTTCAGTATAGCAATAAAAAACAAACCTAATCTCAATAATTGATGATACTTAATTGAAATACTATGTCTTCGTGTCCTGAGAATAGGTTTATTTGAGTTGCTTCAAAATCTCCAAAAAATTTATACTACAAGATAAAAATATATTCAAACCTTGAAGAGAAAAAAAGCAAAGATTACTGAGTGCAAGAAGTGCAAGCAATGCGCAGATCTATTCTACTACTTGCAGAAACGCTATTAGTGCGCTGCTATTTGTATCTTTCTATCCTTATCGTTCATTAGACGTAAAACAAGGATAAGTTGACTGGCACAAAAGCTTAAAAGCGTTTCTTTCAATGCATTTTACTTTCTCCATAAAACGTATATTGTGCATGATATATCGTTTTACCTTTGTTTAATTCTTAATTGCGAATTGTAATGCCGTGTTCATTTATATGTAGATCCAAAGACATGGACTCCATTTGTGTAATGACACTGAGAAAAAAATATTACGAAGCAAATATTACAATGTAAGTAACATTTGCAATACATTTTCTTCAATATTTATTAGTTATGAAAACATATGATTATAATGATATATATACATTTACCATCATAATCAAATATATATTTTTATAAAATATATTTCATTAATTGTAAAAAAATAAAATAGATGGCATATTTGCTATTTTATTTCGCTGCATTTAAATAAAGATTTGTTTTGTAAAATAAATATATTTCTCACAAATAAATTTTTAAATATATATATTATATAAATATATACATGTATATGTCTCGGACGAATCATATTATTTAGTTAACGTAAAGATAAGATTGTCACGATCGTAACGACAGAATTATTTTCACGTACGTATCGTAGTCGTAACAAATCGATGGCGAGGTATATGGTTTAGCAGAAAAAAATAAAAAAAATTGTAGCGGCAGATTGAAGAGATTAATAAAATTGGAAATAGAGGTACGTATACGCTGGGCGCGAGCGGCGTATAACGTTTTGTATGCTGATGAATCAATAGTCCGCTGAACTTTTGGCATGGGGAGAAAAAAAGGGCGCCGCGCCAATGATATGTAGTCGATAGATTTTGATAACCATCTCGTTCGTGTGGGATTTTGTGGGCCATCCGATGAGAGAGAAAGAGAAAGAGAAAGCGAGGCGAGAGAGAATGTAAAAATGTAAAAAATGTTCGTAGCAACACTGAAATCGATATTTATAGTCTATTCTTATTTTACCAAACGGTCTTAATTAAATAATATGTTGAGATGATTCTGTTAATTGATTTATAATATCCTAAAACTACTTTTTAGACAGTTTTAAATATTAGAACGGGCTATGAATATCAAAAGATTCGAAAGTTTGTGTAACTGTTAATATTTTGACGGAAATTAGACAGAAATTAATTTGTAATGTAATACATTAATTTCGTGATTTATTATTACTTTAATAGATATGTAGAATACACATATATATCTATGACAAGATGATATCTAATTTTATTTTAATTTAAAAAAATTACATTTCTATTATATTCGTGTTCGAGTCTTCATATGCGAATGATGATAATACACGTATATATATATA